ATTACTTTGTTATAACCATTAGTTTGTTATAGCCAATGTCCAATTTCTTCCAACTATTCAAGCAAGGGGAATTATGATTGCTTTGTTATATCCATTTGTTTGTTATATCCCATTTTGTTATAAGGAGGTTTTACTGTAGTACCTTTACATAGTAATACTACAAATCTGATTTGCAATCTATGATGCACATAATATATGAACAAGCGTCGGTAGAAATATTTACTGAAGACATTGACACTAACTTAACTTTTACCAGATAATATGATAATAAAATTGGCTACAAGGTGCCTACAGCACACTGTAGCCAATGCAACTCACATGTGAGACAGAGTGCAAAACACTGCTGCCACATAAAGAGGAAGATACGCATCAGCGAGCCCTGCCTAAGACAGGAATAGAAACCCACAGCAGTCAGGCTGCTTATTCTAGGCCCATTTATTTGAAGATCATCTGATTGCAACTCGGCTCACCTGTCCCTCCCAACGTACAAAAATTTCTGTATGCACCATAAAAAGATGCGAGAAATCTGTTGACACTAAATGAGAGCAGAAATCGAGATAAACCAGCAAGTATACTAGTAATGTGTTGTCCTCAAGAATGAGTGCTACAACATGCAAATGCAAATTTTACATAAAAGCATTGATGCCTAGTAACAACTGAATGTAATAATATCAATGATATATGCACATGTACAGTGAGTGTCAAGTGTCCCAACCACAGTATGTAACTGAAGTCTCCGGAAAGTTACAGGACTGATGCAGAGCTGTATATCGAGAGAGTTTGGCAATTAATTAGGAAGTATAGCAAATGAGAAGGTGCCATTGGCTGGGCATGTTCCAGGGAGTCTTCACAAATTCGAATGTCGCCAGCCAGATGCCTAGGATAATACACTGGTGTTAGAAGTTATGCCATGCCCCTTTCCGCTCAGAAAGGGGCATGGCAAAAACTTCTATAACATTTTCAGTAGGGAAATAGACGTCGCACAAGCATAATTTTTGGATTATTAGGATGCTTGGAGCCCGTAAGGTAAGTTATCACCAAGAACGGACGATCTCAGAAGCTTCTTTAGTGCAGCTTTAAAACATGTATGTCTTTATGCAGTAATTTCGATAACTTACGGCAAAGTAATACTAATGTTATCGCTAGTTTTAAGAAATTGTAGGAGGGCACAGCGGGAAAGTGTGCGAGGTAGTGGAAAAAAACCATAGCCAGTGCAGCAGAAATGAGTCTCAAAACTGAATTCTAATTTCACTGCATTTAATCCAGACAGGTGCTTATACTTCAGAACTTCCAATTAATTGAGACTATATGATGCACATCAACTGCATCAGTGTCATATAAAGAAGACTACCTCTATTATATGCCACAGGAACTCTGTCTACTATAAGCAAGTTTCATTTGGAGTACTGTGTAAAGGAAATATGCTCTTTGAACAAACTGACAATTCACACCTTCTGCAAAGAACCCAAAAAGCAAGCTCGACACAAGGTATCTAATCTCAAAAACCTTGCCCTAGAAAGAAAGCACCTTCCTACCAAGTCGTTTAGACAAAAGCTTTCCTTTCACTAGAGGTGTCTCCTTCCTCATAGCCCCCCCGCGAGGAAACGGGGAAGCGGTGATAACAGGTAATAGCTCCAGGAAAAGTGCTGAAATAAAGACGCCTGCCCAAGGCCGCCAGTAACCGCCTCCACAAGCCTACAATCGTTTGAGAAGAAACAGGCCCGGCTAGCTGGCCATAATTAGGTAAAGGGGGCAATCTAACGGTTTTTAATGCTGAAAAAATTTGCAGCTCATAGTTTTAATGTTGTTTACCTCGGCACAAGTGAGAAAACGCACCATCTTGCACGAACTAATGCATTTCCGCTGCTAAATAAAAAAAAAAAAAAAAACCTAATTATTTATCGATTTGCAGTTGCGTGTGGCGGTTATGGAGAGCACAAGGAGCACACAAGTTTCCGTGGCACCATCTAATGAAAGTCAACCAAACCACACCCTCTCTCCTCTACCTTCCCGTATGAACCGTTTTCTAGTTTCAATTTCTCGCTGCACTTTTGGTCAAGCGGAGGGAGCTTTGGAGGCTCCGAAGACAACCCGACAAACAACACACAAAAATAACAATTTTCTTGAAAAAAATTATATTTTTTAGAGAAATGTCAAGTAAATCAGATTCATTTTATTTATTTATTTATTCTTATTTATATCAGATTATTTAATTTACCGTAGCTAGAAAATAGTAAATCTTTATTACTACATCCATTTTTTTGTGAGGCCGATTGATCTATCAATGTACCCAATCACTGATAACGAGGCGGAAAAAATAATTTTTATAAATCTAAAGTACAGTTCAATTAAACCCTTTTCATAGATGAAATCCCTGTCATACTGGAACAAAAACAGCCCCATTTCTTTTTAAATAGGAACCCTTCATTCACTTTTTTTTTTTAAATTCCAATATGCTCGCAATAAAGCAACTTTTCGTTGTTTTTTTTTTTTTTGTTTTTTTTTTATCTGTAATCTGCTTGCAATAGGACATTATGTAACTGATAAATGAAGCCGAAGGTAGAAAGAACTACTAGCTCAATGGTCAAATTTGCTCATCAAAAGAGCACTGCCTTTCGCTCACTATTAGCCTGTAAATCCTTGTTGCTTGACGATTCTTTGATTTTAGTACAAAAAAAAATGCAAGTAGAAACTATCAAACGGTAGATAAACGGTGAATAAAAACTATTTTCTGGGTTATATCTGCAGGAAAGGTTTGATTTAAATCATTGTAGTAAAACGGTTTTTAATTTAAATCATCTTGATTTTTATTCTCCGCCCTGCGAGCAGGAAACCACCTGGCACCCATGACGTCACCCGAGGGACGATGCAAAAGTCGAAGTACCCAAAACTTTTTTTTTTTTTTTTTTTTAAACATTAGGGCACGCAAGAAAAAATATTTTTCTGTTCTTTATTTTTTAGAAAACAGACGAATTCCTGCACATAATTGGCCAAAGTCCAAAAATCATCGCATCGCCCCTTTGCAAGCCAGAATATCCCGAAACAAGAAATAAATTTGAATTCACTAGTCTAAACTGTGTGGTTGACTAGAGTGTTAGTGTATCAATCGGCTCTATTTTCATAGAAATGTAGTTGTAACTAATCCTGCAAGCAGGCACGTAGCCAGGGGGGAGGTCCATGGGGCCCAAGCCCCCCCTCGAAATCTTCCATTTTGCTGGGACCTCCTCTCCCCCCTCCCCCTCATGTACAATCAAGTGTACATGTCATATTAAGTGTTAAAATATCTGATGAAGAGCGCTGTGAACGAGGCATCTGGCATCTGGAAATTCAATTGCTAAATGTTTGTGGTACTAGAACGTTTCAAGTATGGAACACACCTGCCTACCAATTCACAATCTTTTTAATTAATAAATTATTGCACTTTCAGAATTGTGCAGACACATGCCAGCATAGTGAAGAGCTTCCGAAGATTATCTGCTAAGCTCAGTACCGGCACGCATCCTCGACACTCGACATGTCGGCAACATGGGCAACTAGGCAAACACGGTCATGACAATATCTACGAATGCGGCTGCAATCGCCGAAGTAGGCGTTTTTTTTTAATGAGATAAGCTAATGTGTTATTATTTGGATTCCACTCCAAGCTTCCACCACCTACTTGCACCTCTCCAGCAAATCTCACCATGATACGTTGAGAAACCAATTTTGTGAAGTATCTAAAATGTATATACTATTAAAATGATTTCCAATGACAAAAGGCTTTATATATAACCTTGCCCAGCAGGCTAGGATGGCCAGCATTCATTCCTTCGGTCCTCTAGAGGTAACGATGATATAGAACTCCCTGTAATTCAATGATGAGAAGGTAGCGAGGTGTCCCAGGAGAGAGAGAGGGAAAAACAGAGGTATGCCTGCATCAAATGTCGCAGGAAAAAATGACATTTGAACGAATCAACGTTTTGGCGAATAACGGGGGCGCTTCGTGGCGGCAGTTTATTACAAAAATGTTAACCCACTTGGCCCATCCGTAAAACGCCGCTTCGCGGCGCCCGACTATTCGCTGCATTGACATCCGGTGAAACGTCGGCGTTCCCTAAAACGTTATTCGATCAAGCAAGGAGGCTAGAAGTACTAGGAGGGGGCACGTTGCAATATTGGTGAAGCCTAGTCATAAAAAGTTTAAACGATTTTGTGCCCAGAGTGACCGCAGATCTCTCTGGCGATTGGTGCGCGCGACATGTCACGTGTGAGATGGATGGTTGATTGTAGGAGGACTCCTTGCAGGCTTGCGCACGCACGTCCAGTAGGTTTTATCAGATCGAAGGCTAGACTGTGGTGTATTCTAGGACCCCATAGCAAGGCGAAGGCTAGCTACGGTCACGTGATGTGGTCACGTTGGCATGGTAAGTGAGGAGAGTAAGGAGGAAAATGAGAAAGAGGAGAGGCGTCAAGGGAGCATGGCTTGTGGAGGCTACGCCGGCCGACGTCATGCCCTTTCCTACCCTTCTATCCTCCTTGCGATCAAGCGAGTGCCTCCCGGAAACATCCATAGTTCAAACCTAAAACCCTTCACATTTAAAAAATAAAATGCCATGTGTAAAAAAAACAAGAAAAAAAAAACATTTTTGGAAACGAAAAGTTGTGCCAGCTGCTCGGATTCACTTCAGTGTGGTGATTGATAGAAATCTAACATTTCGTAAAAACAAAACACACAAGAAAAATATATCGTGGGAGTTTCCAGATTCTAACAACGCCGGGAGTTTGCCACAAACAAAACGCAAAAAAAAAAAAAAAAATGTGTAGGGATTGGAGTAAAAAAAAAGAAAACTAAAAATAAAACATTTGGCGCGGCAGTGAGATTGCGAACCATGCACAAGCGACTCCCATGGTGTAGTTCAACGACGGTAAATAAATAAATAAATAAAAGTGGTATATTTTACACATCTCTGTGAGCTCGTTCCATGGTCATTGGCAAATTGTTCAGAGAGAAAATCCCTTACCTCGCCGGTCGTGGCAAGAACCTTCTCGCAGTCACGAGTCTTCCCGCCTAGTGGCTCAGTTCGGTGACGAAGCAGAGTGGCAGCAGGAGCTTCTCTATCGAAGCTCGACTGGCTCGACGATAAAGATATACGACATTTTCAGCGTTTCTGAAAGCCGCTATCACGTGGGCGCCGAGTTCATTTAACCCGGAGCAGCGTAGCTTGACCGCCCGCTGAACTGTCTCGCTCTCAGGACTGACTTCGGCAGCCGAGTTTTTTTCGAACCGTGTAAAAATAACCGGTCGCGAAGATATTGCCAGAAAGTCGTTTGCTTCTTGCGCCACCGCCGGTAGTCAGTCCGTCCGCACCAGCGAAAGAAGTAAAAATTAAACAACTCGAGCGCCTCGTCACTCGTTAGGAAAAGTAACCGAATATCCAAGCGGTCCTTCGCGGCTGCTGAACGACAGCACAACCTTCGCCGGCGTCGGCGCAGTTGCGACTCGCTGCCGGACTTTTCCCTGCATGTTGCTGCTTGCTTGGTTGCCCTCTCGTGCTCGTCGTGGCTCGTCGCCTTGTGGCCGGAGGAAGAAAAAGACCAACGTAAATCAAAGGTGAAGCGGCTAACACGCCAATTCACGTAAATTAGCCAGCGCTGGCGCTGTGCGGGCCCAAATTAGAGGCAAGGTTGAAGACGAGCACACGAGGAAAGTGGACAGATGCACAACCCTGGGTCGCACGAATGAATGGAGAACTAAACATGCCAAACAAACAAAACAGCCGAAACCAATGTTTGCTACCCTGGCCACCAACCTCAGTTGGGGAACTCCCGCGGAAGGAGGTGCCCCCCCATTACTCACTTCAGTCCACCTTCCGTTGTTCGTACCGCCATCTAGATTTTTGTTTACAAACTGTGTGTCCCATTCCTTGTGTCCCATAGAGCAGCAGAGTACGGTGGAACGCCATCTAGACGCTACGCTTGGAAACGTACGTATGCCACAGAACGGCCAGAACGGCAGTTGCAGTTACCAAAACAGCCGTCCGGCGCGTCGGACGGCGGGAGGTGGAGTAAAATAAGGAGGTGGGAGGGAGGGGGGGTTTGCTTGTGCATGCAGCCAGCTGGCAACCAACGTTACTACCTAGGGTCACTAGAGTCAAAAGGGTTACAAACCTTCGATCCCTCGTTTCGTGACCACGCTGTGGCACTGGCACGGGTGAACTTGTGACTCTCGCTAAACTAAAACTAAGCATGACGTCATAACTCGAGTAACGTTCTTTACTGTCGAATAGTTCGAAACAAAATCAAATTAAATATACCTAAGCAAGGGGCCTTAATAAAAAAAAAATTAATATTTTTGCTTTAAATTAGCTTTATATTTAGAGTAGTGTTGTGCGTTGTTCAAGGAGATTGGTGTTGTCTCGATCTGGCTGCAGACGGGCAGATCCACCTTCTGCCGGACCTGCCGTATGCCCCACTATCTATAGATTTTCCTGCTAGCTCTGAAATTAAACCACGAGGTTCCGGAATCCGGCGTCAGCTGTTCCATTGCATCAGAGGAAAATACATGTAATTTGGCAGGGGAATTTGAACGTGAAACCAGTGAAACTATTCCAATCATGAGTGGGGACAACTATGTCAGCGTAAGTGGACTGCGGACTTGTTCTAAAAAGAGCGGTTTTGCCGAAACCGGCATGCATGGCTTGACTCTCGAATGAATGGGGTGCGCGATATGTTTCACGGCGTGGTAAATGTGGTCAGGCGAAACTCACGACACTAAACTGACTAAACTTCGTAATCATTTTTTTACTTTTTTTAGAGATCAATTTAAATTTGCGAAGCCTCGAACGCTGCAAGTGCGAGCACCCGGTGCAAAGGGCAGGTTGTCGCGACCTCGAGACCACGACCGGCGTAGTTGCGATGCTGTAATATTCAAATAGGTTGATTTTTGTGGTGTTTTTCGTACGAATTTTTGTTTTGGTCACTTTTTCGCGGTGTGCTCGTTCGTTTCGTTCAGATTTTCTGTTTTTCAGCCAACTCTGTCCTCTCTTCGTCAACTTTTGTTTTTCCTACGCGCTTGCCACTTTCCGGTACCTGTTAAAGATGTCAGTAAAATGGACAAAAGCGTTTGGCCAACTACGCGAAAGCACAACGCAGGCGGTGTTCTTTGCACAGGTGTCGGGTTTAAATGACGCCTGTAAAATATAGCCAAAAAAATACTACTTAGTGTATAAGCAAAAAAAAAAAAAGTGTTTTGCAGTTGCAGGCGAGTAAAATGAGTCGGCTGCAGTACGCAGACATTTATTTATTCATTATTGGGCTGAGCGGCTGAGCTCGCTGCTGAGCACGTGCTGACGGCAGCAGGCTTGCACAGCGCTTCCAACACGTAATATGTTTTGTCTGTGGTGGCTATTGGTCATTAGGTGCTGCCATATTACACAGAAGTTTTCGGGACGAATGAAGGCAGATTTATGAGTGTTTTATTCCCGCTTGGTATTTACACTCGCTGTGTGGCAAAATATAGTGTACTGTAAAACTTGTAATTGGGCTAGTTGGTAAACGTAATAAATGTCTTCCTTGTGCCCGATTTTTTTTTTTTTTTTTTTTTGCATTATGTTTTAAAGAATATTTAAAAGATGGTCGAGAAAAGAAGAAACTCTTCAGGAAGAAACTGCCAGCCACAGTGGACGTCAGAGATTGGAAGAAACATGCCAATTAGCTAACTAATTATCTAAAATTTACTAAGGAATGTAATAATTAGTGAAAGTAAACTTACAGTTCCAATTACAAACTTCCTGAGCGTCATTGGAAGCCCCTAAATCAGTCAATTTTAGAATGACTTGAAGTGCGGGGGGTGCACTCAAGTTAACCACCGGCGATGAAGAAATGCGGATGATATTATCATTTGTGTTTTTGCCTTGCACCTGCTGCGCAAGCGGTAACTTTAGCGCATCCACACACTTCTCACGCTTCAAGTCGTCCTAAAATTGATTGATTTAGTAGTTAGGGGTTTCGAATAACGCCAGTGCATTGGCCAGCAAGTGATGCCGCAGCTCGCCACTGCACCCTCTGTGCAAGGAGCAGACAAACTTGCTCGTCGTACAAACTGGAGTTTGCGTTTTTAGCTGTTGGGTTTTATGACAGTGCAGTTTTCGCACACATTTTTACTTTATATCTGGGACCCACTTGAGTGTTCAGCTGCCGGACAAGCTTGGCACCTTACATAAAATATTGTCAACATATAGAGATTGCAGTTCCTGCTTTGATCTCGGTAAATAAGGTATAATTTTACTGTGTGAGTCTGGTGAGCTGGTCTTTTCCCTTTTCATTGCTGCCTGGTTCCGAAGCAAGCCAGCGACCTGTAAATTCTCTAGTTTAGGCTTTTCAAGGTTGTTTTTATCTCTGTCCTTTGAACGAAATTACTCCTGTCAGGTCTTAGTAGAAATATTAACGGGGTTCTGTGTTTTGGGTGTATGGCGCAATAAACACTTAAAAGTATAACCCCTGATACGTTTTTATCAATATCGGGGAGTACCGAAAAGAAAAAAAAAAGCCTCACAAAAAGGAGTTTTACAGTAGTAGGTGCTATGGGCTTGTCCTGCCGGTTTCGCAATGTGTGACTGTAAACAAGATCAATTTTCCCACTAAATTTAGCAGAAAAATTGATGTCGCATGAACTATGCTCCAATGCAGTTTCCCCGCTAAATCTGGTGGGAAAATTGATTTCAAAGGACTTAAATTCAAGTTCCCCACTAAATATAGCGGAAAAATTTACACCTCATGACCTGTGCACCAATTCAGTTTCCCCGGTAAATTTGGCGGGAAAATTATGTCACAGGACGTAAAAATTCAGGTTCCCCAATAAATATAGTGAAAAAACTGACCACTCATGACCTGTGCACCAATTCAGTGTTCCCACTAAATTTGGCAGGAAAATTGATGCCACGCGTCCTATGCACAAATTCAGTCTTCCCACTAAATTTGGCAGGAAAATTGATGTCGCAGGACCTACAAATTCAGGTTCCCCGCTGAATTTAGCAGAAGAATTGACGTCATGTGACCTATGCACCAGTTCGGTTTCCCCGCTAAATTTAGCGGAAAAATTGACGTCACGTGACCTATGCACCAATTCAGTTTTCCCACTAAATTTGGCAAGAAAATTGATGCCACGTGTCCTATGCACAAATTCAGTTTTCCCACTAAATTTGGCAGGAAAATTGATGTTGCAGGACCTACAAATTCAGGTTCCCCGCTAAATTTAGCAGAAGAATTGACGTCACATGACCTATGCACCAGTTCGGTTTCCCCGCTAAATTTAGCGGAAAAATTGACGTCACGTGACCTATGCACCAATTCAGTTTTCCCACTAAATTTGGCAAGAAAATTGGTGCCACGTGACCTATGCACCAATTTTGTTTTTCCACTAAATTTGGCGGGAAAATTGATGTCGCAGGACCTACAAATTCAGGTTCCCCGCTAAATTTAGCAGAAGAATTGACGTCACATGACCTATGCACCAGTTCGGTTTCCCCGCTAAATTTAGCGGAAAAATTGATGTCACGTGACCTATGCACCAATTCAGTTTTCCCACTAAATTTGGCAAGAAAATTGATGCCACGTGACCTATGCACCAATTCAGTTTTTCCACTAAATTTGGCGGGAAAATTGTTGTCGCAGGACCTACAAATTCAGGTTTCCCGCTAAATTTAGCAGAAGAATTGACGTCACGTGACCTATGCACCAGTTCGGTTTCCCTGCTAAATTTAGCAGAAAAATTTACGTGTTTTTTAAATAAAGCTTTGGTTAGAGTCCGCAAAAACTCTGTCACGTGACCTATGCACAAATTCAGTTTTCCCACTAAATTTGGCAGTAAAATTGATGCCACATATCCTATGAACAAATTCAGTTTTCCCACTAAATTTGGCAAGAAAATTGATGTCGCAGGACCTACAAATTCAGGTTCCCCGCTAAATTTAGCAGAAGAATTGACGTCATGTGACCTATGCACCAGTTCGGTTTCCCCCGCTAAGTTTAGCGGAAAAATTGACGTCACATGATCTATGCACCAATTCAGTTTTCCCACTAAATTTGGCAAGAAAATTGATGCCACGTGTCCTATGCACAAATTCAGTTTTCCCACTAAATTTGGCAGGAAAATTGATGTCGCAGACCTACAAATTCAGGTTCCCCGCTAAATTTAGCAGAATTGACGTCACGTGACCTATGCACCAGTTCGGTTTCCCCGCTAAATTAAGCAGAAGAATTGACATCACGTGACCTATGCACCAATTCAGTTTTCCCACTAAATTTGGCAAGAAAATTGATGCCACGTGTCCTATGCACAAATTCAGTTTTCCCACTAAATTTGGCAGGAAAATTGATGCCACGTGTCCTATGCAGAAATTCAGTTTTCCCACTCAATTTGGCAGGAAAATTGATGTCGCAGACCTTCAAATTCAGGTTCCCCCGCTAAATTTAGCAGAAGAATTGACGTCACGTGACCTATGCACTAGTTCGGTTTCCCCGCTAAGTTTAGCGGAAAAATTGACGTCATGTGACCTATGCACCAATTCAGTTTTCCCACTAAATTTGGCAAGAAAATTGATGCCACGTGTCCTATGCAGAAATTCAGTTTTCCCACTAAATTTGGCAGGAAAATTGATGTCGCAGGACCTACAAATTCAGGTTCCCCGCTAAACTTAGCAGAAGAATTGACGTCACATGACCTATGCACCAGTTCGGTTTCCCCGCTAAGTTTAGCGGAAAAATTGACGTCATGTGACCTATGCACCAATTCAGTTTTCCCACTAAATTTGGCAAGAAAATTGATGCCACGTGTCCTATGCACAAATTCAGTTTTCCCACTAAATTTGGCAAGAAAATTGATGCCACGTGTCCTATGCAGAAATTCAGTTTTCCCACTAAATTTGGCAGGAAAATTGATGTCGCAGGACCTACAAATTCAGGTTCCCCGCTAAATTTAGCAGAAGAATTGACGTCACGTGACCTATTCACCAGTTCGGTTTCCCCGCTAAATTTAGCAGAAGAATTGACGTCATGTGACCTATGCACCAATTCAGTTTTCCCACTAAATTTGGCAAGAAAATTGATGCCACGTGTCCTATGCACAAATTCAGTTTTCCCACTAAATTTGGCAGGAAAATTGATGCCACGTGTCCTATGCAGAAATTCAGTTTTCCCACTAAATTTGGCACGAAAATTGATGTCGCAGACCTACAAATTCAGGTTCCCCCGCTAAATTTAGCAGAAGAATTGACGTCACGTGACCTATGCACCAGTTCGGTTTCCCCGCTAAGTTTAGCGGAAAAATTGACGTCATGTGAACTATGCACCAATTCAGTTTTCCCACTAAATTTGGCAAGAAAATTGATGCCACGTGTCCTATGCACAAATTCAGTTTTCCCACTAAATTTGGCAAGAAAATTGATGCCACGTGTCCTATGCAGATATTCAGTTTTCCCACTAAATATGGCAGGAAAATTGATGTCGCAGGACCTACAAATTCAGGTTCCCCGCTAAGTTTAGCAGAAGAATTGACGTCACGTGACCTATGCACCAGTTCGGTTTCCTCGCTAAGTTTAGCGGAAAAATTGACTTCACGTGTCCTATGCAGCAATTCAGT